ACAGACAGTACTTGTGGTCACTTCCTCTACAGAAAAGCTCCATTTCAGCTGTTTCTGTTCTTTGGCCCTCTCTGCCCACAACCATCAGAGCTTTTGGCTCTCCCTTGCTCATCACTGCTGGGCTGTCCACGGTGAGGATGGTGAAGCAAACAGAGAGCCAGTGAGGACAAGGAGCTCGGTGCTCGGTTGGTGGGGCAGGTTGGGATAATGTGTCTTACCACAGACAGAGACAGAGATATTGCAGGGCTGAAGCCGTGTTTCTCATTTCTCCTGTAGCCACGAGATGGAGCAACTCAGTTACAAACAGTTCTGCAGAGCCATCAGATTTAGGTGATGGGTCTTCTCCTCGCAGTTCTGGCTCACCCAGAGGCTGCAGGCAGTCTTGGATCACAGCAGTGGAGGCTCCCTCTTTTCAAGCAGAGCTGATATTTTTCTCACTTGTTAGATTCTGATTTAGATCAAGAATAAAAACCCACCAGGTCTTCACTGCACGCTCCTGTGTGGTGCAATGGTTACTGATTTACCTGCTGAACTGAAGGATGACAGCAGCATCAGCCCCCTGCTGACACTGTTCCTGAGAGCCAGGACTGACAGCAGGGGAGCCAGGACAAAGCACTGCTCTCTGGTGCAGTCCAGTGTCAGGGCACAGCAGTGCCCAGGGATGGCTGGTACAGCTCAGCACTGCAAGGACAAGGTCTGCCTCAAAGGCGAGCACAGGGAATCAGCAGAGCTTCACTGGTTGCCACCCAGGAATGTGTGTGTGGCCTGAAGGGGAGGTCTTTGTGGCAGCAGCAATATGGCAAAGTCCTCCATACTAGCAAAAAAATGCATGTGAACCAGCTCCTTCATCAGGAAAAAGGCACAAGAGGATGCATTCAGCATCTTCAATCTCATAAAGCAGGACGTGCTTCACACACTGGTGGCATTGGTGAGAAGCACAGAGCCACCAAGGACAGAGGAGGATTTGCAGGGTTGACCCTCTTCTCCCCAGCCTCCAAGAAAAGGGACCCACCCTTGGTCTTGGGGATTTTGTGAAGAGACACATTCTATTCGCACAGGGTAGGGCCTGTGTCAAGAAAAGAAAGGTACCTTGGCTGTCCACTGCTTTCTCACTCCTGCATCCCCAGAAAGTTATTAATGAACAGCCCGAGAACCCTTCATGGGCTATCCCAGCCTCTCCATTATGCAGCTCACTTAGGTTTATTTTACCTTCTCCATCAGCCCTCAGCACCACACTTTTTTTGTCCACTCCATTTTAAAGGCAAAGGAGCCCTCATACCTTGTCCCAGGCGCTTTTGTACCCACTGCATGCCTTTCTGGCCCTTTCTCCTCATACTTTTCCCTCAAAAACTCACAAGCATGTTGCTGGGGAAAAAAAGCAGACCAATTGCTGCTGGTGGCTAGACTAACCCTGGCATTGCTGATTCCTCTTCCTCTCTTTTTCAAAGCATCTTTCTCCAGATGTGTAGCCACCCCAGGGCTCTGTGCAGCAAGGACACCCAGGGCAGCCCCTGGTGAGGGGGGCAGTGCTCAGGTGGCATCAGAATATGAGTGTCAAACAGAAAAGAAAGCTCCAAGTGTGTGAGTGGAAAACCTTGAACGGGGAAAAGACAGCATCCACTCTGAGCCTTGGTGGCACTATCAGAACTGGCATTTGCAAACCCCTGACCAGGGCTGGGTTTTTGTCCATGTTGACAGTAACCTTAGTTCCTGTCAGAACCTTTTTGTAACCTTAGTTCCTGTCAGAACCTTAGTTCCCACCACCCAGGGCGGCTCAGCCCCCGAAATGCCTCTTCATGGTAGTGTTGCCTGCCTGTGCTGAGTGGGGTTTTTTTGTTAATATCCAGAAAGCAGCCATGGTCACAAAACCACCACTAGATACACAGAAGTGAAACCTAGCTGAGGCATGAGATAAGGCATTATTCACTCAAACCTTCTGACTCGTTTCTTCCTTTCGGTGGTGTTTCTTTTTATTCCTTAGGTAGAACAACTAAAATATCGTAGGGGAACCCCAAGTACTATTTCTTCTCATGTTTCCTATCCCCCATCTCTTTCAGAGATGCACAGTTTTAATATAGCCACTATAAATCTCATTTTTCAAGTATTAAAGGAGCATGCAGAGGACCAAGTAAAACTAAACCTCTCTCCTTTCTTTCCCCGTTTGGTAAGAACATTGCAAACACACATACAATGGGGGAGAAAAAAAATACACATGGGTGTATTTCCTGTTCCCTAGGAGTATAAACAGATTTAAGAGTAACTCTTGACTCTTTTAAAATACCAGGTTGAATTGAACAAACCACTGAAAATCAACAATCCCTTTTTCCTTTTTGATATTATGAAAAGTGGGGGAAACAATGGCAGCAATAGCTCAGGATTTAGCTTAAAGCACATTTTGACAGCAAACATTCAACCCATGGATGTTTCAGACAGTCAATAAAATCATGTCTTGTAGAAAAAAAAAAAAAACAAAACAATAGAGAAAAGTCTGTAGGGCCAGCATTTCCTTCTCTGTTACTGGAGACTCATTTTAATGGGTGACTCAGAGGTTAGTCCCACAAAGCCATGTATTTGCATCCTTAAATGAGCTGCGTGACATTCTATGTACACATTGCGTGCACACGGGCACAGCGTGGGGAGGCCATGGTGGTAATGGAAATTTGCAACAACACAAAAAGCAGCAGCACCCTGTGTTGCTTCTGACACCCTGACCAGCAGCTGCTTTGTATGCGGTTCACTCCACTGTCTTGAAAGAAAACACAAGACTCCAGAGTTCTACAAGCTGAGAAGGAGAAAAATTCGACATCCAAAACTAGAGGCAGTCCAGAGGTAAGATGACAAGAGAGAATATTTCACTACTGCAAAACCTTGCCTTAAAAGCTTTCCTTTTGCTACAAGATCAGAAAACTAAGTATACTTTACATAACTTGTTTTGCTTATAGCATAGCTACTCTTTTTAAAAGACTGAACAAAGCTGCCCTTTGCATTTATGCTTTAAAGAATTTTTTTTCTGTTTGTTTGTTTTGGATTTTTTTTTAAATCTACACAAGAGACTCTAGTCTGAAATGCTTTTAATCATAACTCAAATTTTCTTAGCTAAACATCGTGGTGAGAAGCTGAAATTCTGTTTCTCTAGACCCAGAATTTCTAAGACACGCTACCAAACAAACAAATTAAAAACAAGTCTGAAGAAAAAGGAAATGAAATTTCCTACAGAGGCAATGAAGTAAAGAACTTTGTCAGCATTTATTACTTTTCAGCAATTCCTTAATAAACTTTTTCTCCCTTTGGCTTTCTGTAACAGGCTTTCTCCCTGCATTAGACTCACTCCCTGAAGGTGACTCAGCAGGAGAACAGCACATTGTCCAAGCCTTGATCATGCTCTTACATGGGGCAGTATCACTGTCACCCGTTATCTGTCATGGGCCACCTGAATTCTGAGGTTCAGGGACCAAACCCAGCTCCCAAAACCTCTACAGACCTGTGGGTTTAACTCCCAGACACTGGACAGCCTGCAGCATAGCAAGGAGTGCTTCTCCTCTCCAGCCATTCAGAGCCCCAAGTGCTTCACAAGCTCAGGCTTCCCTGTCCTTTGTCATTTGGGCAAGGAAATGTCATTATTTGCCCCCAGCCTCCCCTCAGCCCCTTGCAGCAGAGCAGGCCCTGCTGACAGGGCTGCTGCCCCACAACCCCCCACACCTCACAGGCAGTGGTGCTCTGCAAGGATGAAACCTGTACCTGCTCCAGCACGACAGGAGCTGCAGATGGATCCCTGTACCTGACCCTGCACCCCCCGCCCTACCAGCTCCCATTCTCCTCCTCAGGCTGGGTTTCTGGAGCCGGTTTTCTTACTTCTGTCATATGAGCCAGTAATTTACAGAATCATTTACCCGGTATCAGTGTGTCCTTTAGGAGCAAGGAATTTCCTTTTTGCTGATCCTAATCTCTCTCAAACCACAGCAAGGGACAGTTTACCTCTGAAATACTCAGGGGGTGACTTGATTTGCAGAACAGAAACTTTGTCTGCACGGTTGACAACTGGTTGACAAGTCTGAAATGGAACAGCATCAAAATTAGTAACTCATGTTTTGAAGAAATACAATTAGAGAACAGTAGGCAAAAGCAATTCCTGGGCACTGACAGAAAGATCTCTGACAGGCTTTATTCACAGGTTACATTTGCTGTCATGGAACTGGCTGTAGAAAAGGGTAAGGTATTCCTGGGCATTTGCATTTGTGATTCCAGCTGAGACAAGCATTGCAGAAAGCAATGAGTGCCTGCCCAGTCCTTATCAGGAGAGTCTGAGGGCAGGATCAAACCAGCACCCTTCCTCTAGAGAAGATAATTGTTCCATGACCCCAGCTTAGAGAGTAAGTACCTCCACACTTTTAGTCCCCTCTTTGCAGAGGAGAATCCAGATGCAAGTTTCCTGCAACCCTGTCTCTGCTGTGGTAACTCTGGCTGATTTAGACAAAAGCTTGGGTTCTTAAATCTCATCCTTCTACTAATGACTTAACTTCTGCTGCAGATAGCCTATTTTGAAGCTTCCTGCCTGCTGCTTTTAGACAGTCTGTAGAAGGGCCAAAGGTAATCACAGTCCCTCTTTGCCCAGGGATGGTGGGAGAGGGTGCAGAATGGGAATGGCTGTGTGGGATCTTCACATTAACAAACATGGGAGACCCTCGTGGTCTTGACTCCCCAAGGTCTCTTATGATAGCCTGATGCAGGAAACCAGATTCAAATAATTGTCTCCATCCTCACAATCCAGGAAACCCCCAAAATCAAGGGCCACTACCTCGGTTCTGCAGAGATTGCATCACTCCAAGGGGATGGTGCCGTCACATCCATACTCTGCCTATCCTAAATCATAGCACAGTTAGGAGTAACAGGTGACAGTGCAAGTGAAGCTTGGACCCCAGGAAGCCCTGCTCCTCCTTCAGGCACAGGTTTGCCCCAAGATCTCTTGGCACTGAGCAGCTCCATGTTACCAGGAGCTGCAATTCAGCACACAGCAGCCTGAGAGGGGAAAAAAGGAATCTCCAAGTCTGCATCTTCATCCTTCCTTTCAGTGAAGGTGATTTTCTTCTCTTCCAGCATACCTGGAGTGATGAATGACATCCATGACAAGAGCAATATCAGCAATATCAGTGTTACTGTGGAATGGTTCCAGTTCATCATGTACACCCCCACATTTAGCCTGGGATTGCTGTTCAATGTGATGGCTCTGTTGTTCCTCTTTCTTAAGATTAAAAAGCTGTCAGAATCTACGATCTACATGATAGCCCTTATATTCCTGGATACTTTGCTGTTGTTTACTCTTCCTTTTAAAATCATTTCCTACCACGACAACTGGAACTTGGGGTCTGTGTTTTGCTCCATCTTGGAGAGTCTTTACTTTGTAAACATGTATGGCAGCATTCTCATCTCCCTCTGCATCTGTGTGGACCGGTACATCACTATCCGGCACCCCTTCACAGCCCGCTCCCTGAGATCCACCAGGAAAGCTGCCACGGTCTGTGCTCTTGTCTGCCTGGGCACCTCGGTCGGGACAGTCTCTACGACCCAGTTGCATGAAAAGGGCCACAACATCTCATCCTGCTTCCATACCTTCTCCCAGAGCACATGGGGGAACACAGGCCTGTTCAGCACCTTGGAGATCATCTTCTTCGGCAGCATGGCAGCCATGACGTTCTGCACTGCCCAAATTGTCAGGTGCCTGAGAAGGCACAGACATCCAGACAAGCCCCAGACACACATCTCTAGAGCAGAGAGGATCGTGGTGACAAACCTGGTGGCATTTTTGGTCTGTTTCACCCCTTACCACGTGGCATACTTCATGTACTTCTTGGCAAAGAATAAAATCATCCACATCAGTCTTCAAAAAGTGCTGCGAGATGTCGTTCAGATCACCCTTTGCTGGGCAAACCTGAACTGCTGTCTTGATGGGGCGTGTTATTATTTTGTTTTAAAGGAGTCCTTGGAAGACCCATCACAAAATACGGAAAGAAGAGTCATGTCAAAGCCTTGATTTACATACTGCATGTTAATTAATTGGGATGATGTGTGGTGAGGCTTTCACGGAAAGTACAGGGTCCTGAACTTCCTACCTACGCAATTTGCTTGAAATATTCAATTCTGAAAATATTTCATTAAAAAAATAGAACTAAGTCCGTTTCCAGGAGACTACTCCTAACTTTTTTTATTTCCTTCCATAATGTTTTCTGTTACTATTTATGGGTGAAAAGAAATGTAATTATTCATATAAATGGTGATGCCTATTTCTTTGGATGTGATTCCTCTTTGCTTTGGAAAAAAAACCAAACGTTCACTTATATGTGGTAGCATCTTTCAGCCTCCCTATCTACACTGCACCTATAAACCTTCCTCAAGACTTTAGTCACTACAGACTTGGGCTGTTGAGAAACAGAAACTTGGAGCTTATGGTAAAAAGCTTCAGACTAAATTGTGCTGCCTCCCCTGCTCTGCATGTATGCTTGTACTCACATACATGCACCCGTCAGGTTTAGACTTACACATGCTATTTAAAAAAAAAAAAAAAGATTGTAACTGTAAATGCAAAGGCAGCTTTAGGTTAACATGGGTATAGCAAGATCTCCGTGTAATTCCTCCACTGGTTGATTTGCTCCCCAAGGTTGTTCTAGTGACAGCTCTTGTGCCTATCCCATCATACTTCTAACTAATTTTAGAAGTAATATAACCACTGGCTCAAGTCCCCAGACAGCTCAGGTTAATCAACTATCCTGGTTCCAGGCTCCCTGACCAGCTCCTCTCCTGCTTGCACACTTTGCCCATCCTGCTTGGTTACAAACCTAGTTTCATGAACAGAGCCAAACCAAACAAAAGCATGAAATAAAAAGCCTGAGTCCAAAATAGTGGCAAACACATGAATCTGAAGGGGCAACCCCCACCCTACTGGGCGATAAGAGCAGCCCTGATCCCTAAAGCAGCAGTCAGAAACAGTGGGAAGCAACCTTTCAGACCTCAAAGCAAGCAGAGCACTAAAGCTTCCCAAACAAACAAGGCAATAACCAACCAAGGGAAGCCTAACATGCCAGTCAGTCCCTTCTTATCAGTGCTCACAGGCATCTAGATAAAGTGAATGACAACGTGCATCCAGCTGCAGAGGCATCACCCCCACCGATGCCTTTAATACTATCCCAGGAGCCAGCTGCCACTTTCCTGAGGGATGAGGTTGATTAAAAAAAAACACAACTAAAGCAATTAGTTTTCATATTCATGCTGACCTGGATCCTCTCAGTACCTCTTCTTGGCAGGGATGCCAATCCTAGCCTTTGAACTGTCTTTTCTCCACGCATTTTTGAAAAGGATAATGCACAAACTATGTATTGATTTCTCCCTCGATTTACACGTGGAGTCTCCACTCTGTCAAAGCGAATTTTTTCAGGAGTTGCTACATCTATGTATGAGATTGTACCAAACAAATCCAGTTGCTGAAGAGGGGAACACTGATGCAGCACAGACCTAAGTGTGTGCTGCTGTTCACAGAGGCCTTTTGGTGTTCAGGAGATAACTGTGCTTCTGAGAAGACAAGGGCTGTTCATTTACACTGATGATGTCCTGGTTACGTACAAGTGCATGAAATTCAAATTCACCAGGATATTCCAGCAAGAATTCCCTCCCCTTATCAATGGCCATTTCCATTGGTTCCCTCAGTAACCTCAGAATATCTGACTAGCTTCCCTGCCAGCAGACAGTGAATCCTCATCAGCTCCTTGCTCATAACTTATCTCTTAACTAACTACACTTCAGTAGACACAAAAATTTTACCACTGTGACTTCAGACTCCTTTTGGAACCAGAGTTAACAAATAATACAAGAAAACAGTGCTGAGGCAAAAGAGTTATTATACATCTCAAAGCAGTGGGCCATGACAAGAGAGCCTCCAATTTCACTGATAATGCCTGAACACAGGAAACAGGGATTGAGACAGAACTTCAGGAGGCAGAAAATGCCAAAGTTTATGAGAAAACTGATCTCAGTTGCTTTTATGTCGCCTGAGGCAGCTTCATTCGTTTTACTGACATGATTTTGGGCTTACACTGTGATAGCTGAGACTAGCAGATCACCTGTAATTTTATGCTTCCTCTGTTGCTCTGCTTTTTTCTCCCCATTTTTAAGTATGCCTGTTCTTTCTTGTTTTGTTACCCTGCTGTCCTTGGTCCCACAGATCATAAAGTAACTTGCACTGTAATTTCATTTAGAGTTCTGGTAGACAGTGTAGTGAGGTGAACATTAAAGTTAGGCATTTTTTGCTTCTTGGCTACCTTCCTCAGCAATAACACACTGCTTAGAAGAGGCAGGGCTGTTGACCAGATCAAGCACTGTTAACACTGTAGGAAGGACAAGTTAAAATGCTTGAGGCATTTTTTCTTCTCCCGAGTCTCTCCCATTTCTCCAGTGATTCTGGCCATCGATTTTTCTGGAAACAAGCAGGTTGAGGCGTACAAAAAGCTCATACCTGACCACCACAGCCAACCACTGTTAGAGCTCCCTGCCTCCGCCTACACACAGCCCCCAGTGCCTCTGCTGGCTCTTAAGATTATCAGGGCACAGTGATGACTTTCATTCTAGATTCCTGGGATAAATTATAATTCTGCAAAGGCAACATTTTCTACTCAGAAGCTCCCTGCTGGATCTTATTGCTTCTGGGCCTCTGAGCATTCACTGTTCAGGTCAAATCTGGTGTGGTCTGATCCCTTCTTTGCTCAGGTGGGTAATTGCAACAGCTTTTTCATTTGCAGGGCTTAATACCCAAAACTTGACACAGGGTATCTAGTGACACTGCAGAGATTCCTCTTTGCACCAAGAGAATATTAAAGATATAAAGTGCTAAATATAAAGGGAAAAATCTGAAAACCTGAAATTCATATTAAGAAAAAAGAAAGCAAAACCCAAAGATTTGTTCAGAAATGATTCACCCCTGAGAACTGAGGACTCATTCCTAACACACAGTTCTTAGCTTAAAATCATTACTTTATTCTGAAAGAATGACAATAGGGGCTAGAGAGCTGTTATGGAGCACTTTTTCTACTTGCACTTCTTTTTGCATTTGAAAACTGAAAGGGAAAAGGTTTAAACCAGCCTTGAAAGCTGGGTGTAGGAGTTGGTGAAGCTGCTTCGCTGGGGAACTTCACCCTTTGGGCCAAATGAGCCATTTCATTTAAAAGGCCTTTCAAAAACGCACTCTGAGGCTGCCACTATTCTTGCCAAGAGATTTGTCTTGCAGACATTTAAGCCTGTATCATATTCACATAAGTAACCTTCCTACTCACTTATTTGCAGGTTTCACTAAGAGACTGGATGTGTTTCAGCAGCCAATGCCCTATTCCCTGCAGCCTCACTCACCTGGGAAAACAGCGAAGCTCAAACTTAGGTTATGCACTAGCTCTGCACATCTGTCCTTTGCTTTCTAAATTTCTTTTCTTCTAGTACAACTATTATCTATGTTTCAGAGTTATCTGTTTGGTTTGGGAAAGAAAAAAAAGGTTTAAAAAGAAAACATCACTGATGATGTTTGCAAATAACCACGGAAATTCCAACCAAAGCATTCATCTCCCCCCGAAAAAAAAGAATTAGGACAGGTACCAGGCATGCAGAAACTTCTACAGAGATTTCACTATATTAGGAATTTAAAAAAGTTTAAAAGTCCACTTTTTATGTTTTGTGAAAGATGTTCACATATAATGAATGGAACAAATTATTTACCATGAGCAATATCACATCTGTGGCCAGTGGTAATAAGAAAAACCTCAGAAAAGTAAGTCTCAAGAGAAATTTCAAGGCTTTTATAGAGATTTTATTATGCTATCCTCCTCTCAGAATGTTTTTAGTGTTTTTATTGCCACTGAAGATGGTTAAAATTGCCCTATGCTTTCTCTGCAGGACAGCAACACGATCTAAAGAAGAATTTGTAGCACTCTAGCTGCTCAGGAGAAGCCCTCTGAGAAGTGGTATAGTTATGCTGTGACAGTGAAATACTACAGATAGGCACAGGCAGAAATCACAGCCCAGCTCCCTTCGCAGTTTTTTCCCCACAGAGCAGAGCTCTTTGCATGTTCTTTCCATCTGCTGCATTTACTGGTGGAAGCCTCCCAAAGAAGTAAAAATGTCCTAAGTGACATCAGAAGGTGACAGAGTTCCCACTGCTGACCTTGGTGTGAGAGAGTCCTGAGCATGACTGGTTTTGGTGGGAGGACACTCTGACTCTCACACTCTACCTGGATTTGCTCCTGGATTTGCAGTGGGCCAGTGCAAAGCTACAATTCAATCAAGTGCTCCAGCTTGCCTTACTCATCCCTGTCTTCATCCTACCTTTTCTTCCATGTGCCTCTGTCTTCTGGTTTGTGGAGAAACTGCATCCTTTAGCAAAGCTGAGACTTCTCCCTCCATCAGATTTCTTGCTACTGAGAAACATCTACCACAGCAGTAAACTCTGATGGATCAGTGTCTTCAGTTACTGTGAAAGGCAAAGGGCACCTACAACCTCCTCCATTTTATCTCATTTATTGTTCTTATTCTGATTATATACACTGTCACTCCGTAAGAATGGCATTTACTGCATTTTTCTAATGTGATAAAAAAGTTGCTGTGGGATACGGACACAATCAAAAATCTACGAGGAATCAGAAATGTTTCCCAGGAAGAAAAGCTGAATCAGTGCCATTTGCAGACACCAAACGATGTAAAACCTCATGTCTGCTGTATGCTAGTTTTCCATTAATCCTTCTCTCTATTCCAAGACAATAAGGGTATTAAACTGGGATTATATTTGAAAGCAAGTATCAGCAGTTTAGAGTTATAAACACTGCCGGGCAATTGTTAATCCAAAACTAAGCATTACAAACCCAGGAAATCCAGTTTAGATTACACTTCAGAGTACACCAACACAATCCTGACCATTCCTGGGTAAAAATTAACTTTGTCACTACAAGTAAAGCCACCTCCCAGAGACCAGAATACAACCTGGGCCAGCCATCACTACTGAGACAGTGAAGGACACTGTCTGAAACAGCTTTATCAGTTTAAAGAGGA